GTCGGGTTCACATTAAAAATAGGGTTGGGCGTTTAATGAACTTTCACTAGGATTAGCCATTGTTATTATACAATAGAGGTAATGTTTATTAACACAATTGTGAGTATTACAACGTTATCAAGTAACCGCGGTAATTAGACACTAATGACTATGGCCTCAGGTTCCATAACGAATCCGCGTTCAACGGGATAGGGAATTTACTTTTTCGTCAAAGCCGAAATTCGACTCTATGTTAAAACGTAGAGTAATCACTGCTTGTGAAAGCGTTACTTATATCGTTGATGAGATTGTACGAGAGAGTGTGTCTTCGTCACGGTGACGCTGTAGAGGAAAACTATGATGGGATGTGTCTAAGGGCACGAGATCATCGGATTCGTGGAGAAAAGCCTTCGTTTGTGCGGAAAGTGAGGGAAATTGACGGTGCTGTTAATTGGTCAATTTCCATGTTGGTGGTTAGAAAAAGATGCTAGCCGCCCTCGAGGGAAAGCTGCACGTGTACTGCGGTAACGCATCGACATCTGGCAATCATCTTACTCAAAGAATAGGGTCTGCAAGTGGCACGCTACGGGACAGAGACCGTTGGAATATTTACTTCGAGTGTTACAACTACTTCCTTTTTAAGGAGAGCTATAGAATTACTTCATGTCTCTGCCAGACAAAGCATTCATCATCCTGTGACCGCGACTGGTTGTCGCCTCAGGCCCAAGCTCATTATCACAAATCTCGAACAAATACAATCGGATCGAATGATAACAATTGTTTAATTATGCCTATGATAGAATCTAGATTACGGTGTTAAGGGATTTTCCAGAAGTTCCAAAGGGGAGGCTCCGATGATCTTTCATCTCCGACATGTATATAAAAAAATATTCCATGTATATATTAAAAAGATAAGATATTTACCCTTAAGGTAATGTTATCTATTATTCTTTCATAATATGTGTATATATACTACTGTCTTATATTATGTATCACCTTATATTAAACATCATCCTAATAATATTACTTTTGATAAATAAATAATTAGTTTCGTAGTCAGGAAATTCCACCATTTGCACTGAGCGCAGGCGTGCCTGCTTAGTTACTTTTCAGAGATTCAATGTTTGTCCAGGCAAAGGCACTGACGAAACGTTTCAATAAAAGCCCAACAATATGCATATAGTAAGTGGCATTAATATTCGGCAATGCATTATGACAGATATTGTATTACTGTATCTACAGATACTTGTCCTACCAAAATTCTCCACTTGGAACATCATTGTTTTCCAAATAATAAAGGAAATTGTTGCATGCGAAAGTTGTAAGGTATAACGAATGAAGAGTTCGCCACTCGATTTATGTAACAGCCGAAATTGCAATATATACTAGGCAGTACCGCTACCCACCGATGAATCAAGAGAAGATACAGATTCAATTTGAAGCTTTGTTACTTCAAGAAACAATTAGCCCGTCCACTTCACCGTATAACTCCGCTTTATGGATTATATCGAAAATATCGGATGCCCGTTACACTGAACATTGGCGCATGATAATTAATTTTCGTGCACTGTACGAAAAAACAAAGCGACAAATATCCATTATCTCAAATTACCGAAACTCTGGACCAACTGAGAGGTGCAAAGTATTTCTCAATGTTTGATCTGGCAAATGAATTTCAACGTTTAATATATCTGGCATTAATTCCGTGAATTATAAATTCAAAATTGTTTGAATGATATAGTAATCTATTCTTCAGCTCTATAGGAAGTCAAAATTTAAAGATTGTTGAATCATCTCAATCATCTCATCGAATACTTGCTATTCACATCACACGCCAACCAGAATTTTATACCGAATTTGTCTGGTTTGTTCGGCATATACTGGGCAAATCTACATCTATTCTTCGACGGAAACAACTGCTCATCAACAGTAATATATGCACCAGGTTTATACCACTTTTGTGAATTCTCTATAAATCGGCCCCTCACTGTAGATACCATTGCAAATTTTTTGGTTTGTAAACGCTGGCTTCCTTCGCTCTCCTTATCAAATCGTATAAACTTCATAATTTCAGTAAAATCATTCCTGCTCATTGTTTTTGAAAAAAAATGCAGGTTCGCAAATTTTATTCCACAAATATGAGACATCTAAGTTCTTTCCCTGGTATGCACCGTGGGCGTATAGCAGAGCAATAAATGCATCTAGTTTTGTTGTATCTAGCTCCCAGTTAGTCCCCAATACTCGAAATGCTTCTTCTTTCGTACATTTTATTATATTATGATCCCTTGTACGGTGATCAATGATAAGTTAAAATGCTGTCTTTACTTGTCCTTTCACTATATGGCGTTTAACATATCCTGTCGGACCTGACATACTCCTAAAAATATTATGAACTGGTGTCCTGCCAGGTTTGGAACTTGCATCTAGTTCCTTCCAAACTGTTCCATCGAGCCCAGTTTCGATACGTTGTTTCTTTACATCAGCCTTACGCTCTGCTGTCAATGATAATTTCTTTCTTTTTTGCCCTGGGCGTGAACGCTCATTGATAATATTCTCCTCTTCATTATTGCGGTCTAATTATGATTCGGTTGTAAATAGCTTTTCATGTATTTCCATGCTGTTTTCAATTGCTGAAGTTTCTTGTTCATCGCACACTGAACAGTCTTCTGCTATGCCCGTTATTTTTTTTAATAATTTCTTTTGCAGTCTTGACATTTTTAGGGTAAATATTTATCACAGAATGACACTATGTACGGAATACAAAATTATTGTCAAATTTTATGTGCTTTACTATTTCTTTTATAACCACTTTACACAGAACACTCCGAGATACTTTCCGTCTGAGTTATAGAGATAACAAGTTTAGATGTCGACTGATTCACTAAGAAACCGACACGTATTCTGGTCGAAAGAAAGATACCAAGTAAAATATAGTCTCTGACGGTGATATTTATATGAAAATATTGATGGGTACTGGCCATTTTCCATCAGTGGTTGTTCGAGGGTGGAATTGACTGTTGAACATGGGAAAACCCCACATTTTCCGTGTTTTACCGGAATGAGCAATAACCCTAAAAACTTTTCATCTTTTAAAATGTTTGTAACAATTGACCACAAAAATGCTAAATTTTATGGCGGTTCCTTAGGGTCATTATATGGGACTGAGTGGACCTCTTGATTCAGGGATGAATTATGGTTTATGACAAGGTTACGTGTGTAACAGTTGTTATCATTTGTTATTACTAATTTTGTTTGTCATCTGACCTTGATATAGCCTTTTCTTTGCACTGATTGTATTTATTTTGAGAATAAATAGAATATTCCATCGAGCTGTCAAATTGACCGCCCACGGTAGGCAAGGCAAAATACAAATTTTTCTTGGAAAAGAAAAAAGCAAACTAGAAATAAATACCGAAAAATATATTGTATGCATGTTTTAGGAAATGTCACGAAATTTAAAGCGATTTGATAACGTTTAAATATGGTTAAATTTGATTAAAAGTTCTGGAAGCGGTCTAAAAGACCGCGTCGGTAGATTTAGTGTTAAGTTGTCTATGTAAGTGTTCCACCATCCCATTAGACGCGGGATGATAGGCCGACGTGCGTAAGTGAGTGACGCCGAGCAACCGGCATAACTCTTCAAATAGACGCGAATCGAACTGGCGATCGGTCATTATTTTCAAGGGAATGCCGAAACGAGAAATTCAGGTCGAAAGGAGGGCCGAGGCAATGGTTGGCGCTTCCATATCGGCAATGGGAACGGCTTTAGATCAACGCGAAAAACGTTCGATGCACGTTAGATAATATCGATAGCCTTGCATCACGATAATGTCTAAGTGTATATGTTCGAACCGGCCTTCTAACGATTTGAACGTTCCAACTGGTGAGTATACGTGCCTGGTGATTTTATTGTGCTGACGCGGTATGCATTGCCGCGTCCACGTTCGACAATCTTTGTTTACGGACGGCTAGACAAAACGCGTCGTCACCAGTTTTTGCGTGGCGCGCATCCTTGGATGGGAAAGTCCATGCAGCAACCGAAATACGGTGCGTCGTAGCTGTGCCGGTACGAATGGTCTTCGGTCGAGAGATGAAAATATAATCCGACATCCTGATCGGGAAATCGCACCTTTATTAATTGCAACGCGCCAGAGCCAGACTTAATTATCTCGGTATCGTTTTGTTGCGCTGCGGCTAGCGTTTGATGATCAACTGATTTCCCGATGGTTTCGATCCGGGATAGAGTATCGGCTATACTGTTGTCTATCCCTTTTATATGCCAGACATCGGTCGTAAATTGTCCGACGTAGTCAAGATGACGATGTCAAGATGTAACCGTCGAACTCCTGCCTGTTCACATAAGGAGAACAATATCCACTAATACACATAATGTCCTCGACGCTGATGCCAACCACTCCTCTCTTGCTGATCAGCGTCTCAGTAGACGCTTGTCGTCCATTAAAAAGAGTGACCCATAGCAATGCATCCCGGATCTTATCATTGTACCAATACGGTAATTGTTTTTACGGTTCGGATACGATCACTATGTCCACCCTGTTTTCGCACACATATTTAGCTAAAAGATCCTGCTCTAGCCTGCATCTATTCAGGTTAATCTGCGGGTCCTTTATCCTCTTAGTCCCTAGTCTCCACCCTGACCATCGGGCGGGCCAGCGAGCTCGTAACGTAACGTGCCGAACATTTGCACCTTCCTTTCTGGAGCACATCGCACATCTCGGCTCCTTCGTGCAACCCTTCATTGTGTATTCTCCACTCTCACACCTCCTGTATAGCTCCCTGCCAGGACATACCACGGTGCATCTCGCCACCGTATGCCCTAGCATATGGCACCTATGGCACCTCTGCATATCCGGCAGGATCCTGGCCGATGCTATAGTCAGGCCAGTCCTAAATTAAGGATTTTTTATGAATTTTTTTTGTCTTTGATATTATATTAAATTCTGAAATTCTCTTAGCCTCTGCGAAGCTTGGTATAACAAAAGAAAATTTAAAAAAACATAATGCTATTCAAGGGATTTGTGGCGGATCGGTACCAACAGGACGCCAACAAGTCGAGGCAGCAACGTGGTCATAACACCTCCCGGGCGATCCGGGTACCAACCGCCAACACCAGAGGGCCACTACGACGACAACGAGTCTGTCTATCCCACTAGCGGTCGAGTATACGGGCGCATCATACAAATACCGCACCTAGAGAGACTCCCTCTACGTCTAAGGCAGAGACTACCGGGCATATCATTACTGACGAATCCACCGGTAGTCCTGGGACGAAACGCTCATTCCCTTTTCACACGGCAGTGCCATAACACTACCAAAATGAATCCAAGCCTGCATTCATGAGAATGAAGAGATCGTTGATCTCGTTGAACCTGCGGCTGCTCGAAATATATCAACTAAGTCTAGATATTTTTCAAAATTCGATTAGTCGAAGTTGGAATTAAATTTACAAAATAATTTTTTAACAACGCAACCTATAGTCGCTATAAATTCCAAAATAGTAGCTATAAAATGGAAAGATCGTGAATTTAAGACTACGTCTGATGGCTGCCTTATTATCACAGTAGATAATGAGAAAGATAATGAACCAGAACCCAAGAGGAAGAAAAAATCTGCACTTTTGTTGCACAGTGATTCAGAAGACGATTATGGTAAGAATTGGGGTTAGATTTGGGATTAGGAATTGTAGAAAAATGTAAAGTAATTCAATGAAACAAGTGAACGAAGCCAATGAATTTTTATGTTACATGATCAGAAGATGATGTTCAGTCGCAAGCAATGAATAAAAAAAGTGAATATGGCGATAGTTATGATAATATTAGCGTAAGGAGTGGATCCACATAGAAGTATCAAGGTATAATAGTAATATATAATCTATAGTAAATTTTGGTCTGTTGTTTAATAACAATTTTGGTATGCATAGCAGGAGGGTCTGGAATACATCGACCATTGAAAAGATCAAGAACAGAATGTATACCAGGAGCAGAATATAAAGCATCAAAGGCTGGAGGTGATGTGAAAAGGAAAGGAAAACCAGATCCATATGCTTATGTACCTCTGTCAAGAGCAGCATTAAACAAAAGGTAAATAATGATACCATGAATTTTCATTTACATTGAAGATACGCATTGAATTGATTCATCTTTACCTTCAGAAAAAAGAAGAAAAATGCGAGTATATTTCAGAACATTATTAAAGGAGCGAAGAGAGATGCGAAAATTGGAATGAAGCAAAGGAAAAACTAAAGTATAATATACCATAAAAAAATTTTCAAAAACTATGATTTGTGGTATATGTCTCTAATTATGATTAGGTTTCACTGGTTATAAATTTGTACATACATAAAATACATGATACAAAGATATACAGGAAATGACATTCAATTAAAAATCTGTGACGATTTATAACATATGTGGATTAATATTAACAGATAAACACTTGAGAAATTGACATATTGTTTGAAAACAAAGTGACTCCGTTATAGAGCAAAAGAATTCCTATATTATTATTTATTTGCCTTGTGCAATCTGTTGACTATAAATTAGCGCTAACAAGGAGATCCTTTTACACAGATGGTTTAATTTATTGCATATTTCCATAGAACAAATATTGAAATCCTTACAACTGATACAAAATAACTTACAAATAATTATATTTGTCAGAGAAGCGTCAGGAATAGAGTTGTGGGCATTTGCTAGACCTCCATTGGAATGGCCATCGCTGTGTCATAACGACGGTACGGCCTGATACTACGAGTATGAACACTACCGATTCGACAATCAACAGCGGCGATTAGGTAATCGCGGCACTAGTGATAATGGTCTTAGGTTCGATAACGAATCCACGGCCAACGGGAGGGCAGCTATACTTGCTATAACTCAAACGTGTACTGATCGTAAGGCGCTATTCCCTTCCTCGATGAGGTCTCAATCAGGAATGCCTCTTCGTCCCAACGACGCCACCGAGATAAACTCTGGTGGAGTGTCTAAGTATCTAAGCTCCTCGGATCGACGTCGCTGTCGATTGGTCAATTTGGGACAGAAGCTGCCTGTCCGTTTGCAAACCATCTTAATTCCCTAGGGGCGGTCCTAAGGAACCGTTAGCATGTTTTACTGTCCGATACCTCTATGGGCAGTTCCTTTAATGAGGGTCATAACACCGCTCCGCACCTTTGTTAGACTGAGCGCCCGTCCCGTTGATCGCGGCTACGTTCGGCGAATGATGGTCGCCTTGAGCCCAAGTTTATTATCACAAATCGCAAACAAGTACAATTGGGCAGAATGACGACAAATTGTTTAATTACAACTGTAAACTTTAATTACGATTTTACGGATTTTCCCGGAGTTTCAGGGGAAGGTCCGGTGTCCTTCCATCTACGACATATTAATATAGGGACTGGTATATTTTTTGAAAGAAATTAATTATATGACCTTTAATTATATCCGAGAATTAATTAGATCCTATAATTAAGCACTTCTATTAAGCTAAAAGTATTTAAATATTTATGTAAACAAAAACTCATTTTTCTTTTGCATTAGCTCTTCTTAGGCAACATTCTTTCCAGCTCTCCAGATTCGTTCATTTCTTTTAAAATATCCAATCCTCCAATGAGTTCTCCATTCATATATAATTAAGGATACATTGGCCAATCATTAAATTTTTTAAGTCCTTCTCTAACATCATTATCTTGTAAAATATCAAACGTCTGGTAATCTGTCTTACAAGAGTCTAAAATAGAGACTATTGTTCTTTTTTTATTATATTTACGTCGCTTCGCCAACGCCACACGGAGTTCCCAGACGATCACCCATCCAAGTACTGTTATCCGTGCCCGGCGTTGTGTAACTTTCGTGATCTGACGGGAACGATTGCACTCAGCGCGGCCAGGGCGTTGGCATTTTTATTTTTTACTTAACGTGTTTGTAAGTAGTTGTAGCATGACTGTAATTTGTTGTGTTTGTTGTGTGAGTACTGCATTTTGCTCACATATTTTTGTTGACATTTCAGTGTTTTGATGGATTCCTTGAGCAGTTCCTTGATTTTTGCAGCGTTGTTTTGATTTTGGTTGTTTAAGGGTGGTGTTTAGTTAGTTACTTGTGCATAACTTCGGCTACCAAAGGTGTTGATGGAGTAGAACTGATGCCGATGGAATTTGACGAAATCGTGATTGTGTTTAAATGTTACATTCATACATTAATTGTCGTAGAATATCGAGACTCCGTGATAAGTAACACACATTTTGAGTCGATTCGTTAATTTTCCCACGATCAATCTATCAAGTTACGAGACGAAAAATTTTTAATTTATAATAAAAATGTATGAGATTACCTTCGTTTATCTTCCGAGCGTGTACGCCTTTTCAAAGATCTGCAGCGCAAAGAACAATTCTCTCTTTGGTACATATTATAGCATCGCCGGAACACTGTTTACGAAAGACCAACGAAACACACACAGTGTCGCGATAAAGCGTAGGTGCCGACAGGCCGAAAGTTTCGGGAAACTTCAATAGGCCTAATGGCCTATCGATATCCCTTTGGTCCTTCCGTCAAATAATCGGAAGAAGGCGTATATAACCAAAATAGCAGACGATTACGAACACGTGCGTATTGGGGATATTGAAAGATGACAAAGGGAAGAAAATTATTACTGAACGTCTAGGTTACATTATCGAGAACACAAAAAGGAAACAAATATGTCCTGATCATACAGGATCTATTGACCGAGTGCTCTCTTGAAATTCCTACTGTAGCGGTTCATGGCCATAAAGAAAGTTCTACGGTTCAAGCGCATGTGCTGGCCTGTAAAATGCGACGTCCGAGGTCAGGACGTCGTCAAAGAATAGACCTTATGACTTACAATAAAGCGTAAGTGCTTTCGATAAAGAAAACTGATTCCCTACCCCAGAAGAAAATATTCTGTTTCAGGCACCTCGGCAACCTATATGAATGGAAACGAGGAAAGGCTAGAGAAACGCAGACCGATGCAACTGATCGGTGAAGTCGAGTAAACGGTAAATATGCGAAGAACAATACCAGTACGGCCCAGGTAACGCGTGCTGTCCTCCTGTCCTGTCAGGCCCTCCTCGTATAATTAATAAACTCATTGTTAAATCAATCCGCGGAGTATTTCTTTGACACAGTACACGCCCTACCACCTCACTGATAAAACCGAAAATAAAATCTAAGGAATATTACAACAGACGGATCAATAAACAAAATTTCAAAATGGTAGATTTGTTACATTTAATGAAAGAACTTGGTAGAGGGAAATCTCAAACGGATATACAGAACCTCATAAAGTTCCCAATATTTTCAAGTACCACAATACTGAAATCGAAGTAAAAGGAATGTAAAAGGAATGCCACGATTAATACATATAAATAAATTAAAATTAACGCGCAGTCGCAATAGATAGTGACGAGCCTACAAACAGGCGGACCAAACACAACAAAGAAAAGCAACACGTTAATAATGAAAATTTTTCCTATTATATACAGTATGTGCGTCGTTTTTTATGAACAAGAACAAGGAGAGGAATTCTACGGTCCTTGGGGTGGAGAACTTCCAGCCTATCACCCGGAGATGTATGGGTATTTGGCGGAAGTGTAGTTGCTGTCAGGTGAAAAGAGAATTTGCGTTTCGTCCCGGGACTACCGGTGGACTCGTCAGTAAGGCTATGCCCGGTAGTCCCTGCCTTAGACGTAGAGGGAGTCTCGCTAGGTGCGGTATTTGTATCGTGCGCCCGTATATTCGACCGCTAGCGAGATAGACAGACTCATTGCCGTCGTAACCGCTAGCGAGATAGACTCGTTGTCGTCGTAGCCCTCTGGTGTTGGCAGTTGGTACCCGCGGATCGCCCGGGAGGTGTTGCGACGCGTTGATGCCTCGACCTGTCGGCGTCCTATTGATACCGATCCGCCACAGATAATTACTCACTTACTGTTACCAATTACTTCAACCCGATTATTAAAATATCTTCGAAATATTTGTCAAAACTGTTATTACAATGTAGATGAAATGCCAAAAGCAAGAAAGAATCGTAGACGTAGAGGCTATAATCCAAAATAATCAAGCTCTGTATACGACTGTTAAACCCGATATTTCGTTATCGAACTCACGATAAGAATAAATATAATGACCGAGCCCTTCTCTCTGAGGCATTCGATTGTTGCATATTCACTACCGTAATCTCCAGGTCGCAATATACATTGACAAATTTTGAACAGATGTTACGATAATAAAATGAGCCGTGACACTTTGACAATTTATGATTTTACAATCCGCGAGAAAATAACATACTCAATATTCTGATTTGTGACTCAACAAAAATAAAGAAACAAATTTATACGTTCTCTGTACTGCATATCTCGTTGAACATGTGGAAAATCGCTAGTAGCACATAGATCATGAAGATATATTTTGCTTGTTATGATCTATTAATCCTAGTTTTTCAGTACTGTATCATATTTGGATTTAGGCTTGAAGAACGCTCCTTCTTTACTAGTGTTGCTGTTTTTAAGATCTGTGTTTCGTAGTAAAAATTGTATTATATATTCAACATTGCTCATGAATATATTATGAAAATTATATAAGAAAATTTAAATAAAAGACAAATTTGAGGTAACAAACTGATAGAGCATGTTATATAAAATATGTTATAAAACGAATAAACTCACTTCACTTCACTTTTCATTCACTTTTTATAACACTTCATGCTTTGCTTTTTTGTAAAATCTTTTCTTATTATTTTTATGCAAAACTATGTTATTCTGCCAGAACTTTATAATTTAATTCTCTCAAGTTAACTTATTGTTTGAAACTGACTTCCTTCTGCGAAAACATTTTTTGACTAAATTTACCCGGATATTTTCTGCGTCCAATACTCAGATCCGATGAATATTCGGAGCAGTTCAAGGCTTGAATTTCGAAAGAGATCCCGGTGCACCTCTATTAGGCGTCAAGTAGGCCAAGGTGAAGAAATTGACCTTTATATATATCGGGTTTACACTAGAATCAGGGTTAGGGGCGTGAAACGAATCTTCGGATGGATTACACGTGTCGTTATGCAATAGAGAAGACTTCGACTAATGCAAATACGATTATCATAGAACTGGATCGTAGTTAGGTACTCGAGAAACTAATGACAATGATCCTAGGTTCAATAACGAATCCGCGGTCGACGGGATGATAGATGAACGTGCTCACAAAATCTAAGTAGGACGCGTAATATTCACTGGTCGTAAGGGGTTACTCTTTTCGTCGATGAGATCGCGAGAGAGAATGAATTTCCCGCCCGGATGATGCCACAGAGGAAAACTATATGGGGTGTGTCTGAGGACACGAGATCATCGGATTCGTCGAGGATAGCCTTCGTTCAGAAGGTGAGGG